TCCTGCCCCCTGAGCTGTCTCCCTGTGCAGGCACAGCCCTTCTGTTCTCCCACGATTGATCTCTCCAAGGAGTGTATCCACCTAATATAAGTGTTCAGCTCATATGCCTGTCTTTTGTTTGGCTGGAAACCACAGGAGTGGGTTCAATTCCAGACCTGAAGGGCAGCTAGGGCCCATAGTCTCAGGAGGTCAGGCTCTATCGGACCAGCAAACCTGGTCTGGAATATTTTAAAGATTTTCCCTACAAGTGTCTAGCTCCCTGGGGCAGGAACTGTGCTCTGTTCAGCCCTGTATTTTCGGTGCTGAGCCTTGGACGTGGTCCATAAGGTGTACTCGGTAAGTCTTTGAAGTGATTTGAACTTGAGTCAGGTGGGGAGGCTCCAGGCTCTGGAGAGGCCTCCCAGGGCCCGTTTCCAGCCCAGGCCTCTCCTCTACGCCCTGCACCACTATGTGCTCCCGGATCTCTCTCCCTGGAGGCCCCGTGGGCTCCTCATGTCCCAACCTGCACTATCATTTTCCATCAAGCTCAGTTCCCTTCCAGGTTCCGCATCTTCCTGGACATTTGTCCCTGCGTGACCCACGGGCTCCCTCTTCCAGTGTGCCCCAAATGGGACGCTTCACCTTCCCTCAGGCTGGTTCTCTGTCAGGTTCTGCATCCAGGAACCTGGCCGCCAATTCCTGGGCGAGAGGAGGCATCACGACCTTGCTCCTGGATGAGCCCTAACCACCCACCGGGACACAATCTCTGCCTGGCTCTCATCCAACCTTGTGAAACATCCTGTCCCCAGGTCTCAATTTACTGGGCCAGGTCCTCTCTGCTTGTTCCTCTGGGGGTCACTGTTGGAACTACTTCCTTAATCCTAGTGAGTGTGCACTTTCACTTCTCCCTTTCAGGCCGCCTGGAGTCTGTCAGACACTACAGTGCTGGTACCTCAAGGCTCAGCTACGAGGCCTTTTTCAGTGTGACATCTTGCCTTGGACCAGTAGCTCTAAATTTGCCTCCAAATACGGAGGGGGTCAAAATATCAAATAATGAGGCTGCAGCTCCGCGATATAGTTTTACAAAGGGCTTATTTACTGAGGAGCTCTGGTGGTGTAGTACCTAAGGCATTTGACTGCTAACCAGAAGGCTGGCGGTTCAAACCCACCAGCCACTCCTCTGAAGGAAGGCTGGACAAATCTACTCCCGTAGTGATACCGCCTTGGAAACCCAAGGAGGGGTCTCTATGAGTCAAGTCAAGTCAATGGCAGTGACTTTGGTTTGGGCTTTGCTTCCAGTGGGTGTGGTTTGGGCTTTGCTCCCATCAAGACTGACAGCCTTGGAGACCCTGTGGTGCAGTTCCACTCTGTCCTCTAGGGGCGCTGTGGGTCAGAATCCCCTCCAGGCACTGGGTTTGGTTTGGCCTTTGCTTCTGTGAAGGTAGGAGCCCTGGTGGCGCAGTGCCTAAGGCACTTGACTGCTAACCAGAAGGCTGGCGGTTCAAACCCACCAGCCACTCCTCGGAAGGAAGATAGGGCAATCTACTTTGGTAAAGATTTACCACCTTGGAAACCCAAAGGGGGTCGCTATGAGTCAGAATCACCTCTACAGCAGTGAGTTTGGTTTGGTTTTTTATTTACTGAGGTGATGCCCTGGGTGGTCTCAGGACACACTCAAGTCTCCATGCCCCCCAGAGGAGGCAGGGGTAGCGTAGTGCCTAAGGCACTTGCCTGCTAACCAGAAGGCTGGCAGTTCAAACCCACCAGCCACTCCTCGGAAGGAAGATGGGGCAATCTACTTCCATAGTGGTACTGCCTCGGAAACCCAAGGAGGGGTCGCTAGGAGTCGGGTCCGACTCGACAGCACATAACAACAACAGCAACGAACAAAGATGGCTTGATGCTGGGGCCCTGGACCTCCACGGCCACTCCAGCAGGTGTTATATAAGAGTGATTTCACAAGCAGAAGTGAGCTGCCAAGCAAGAGCATAAACTCAGCCGTGCAAAAGCCTGCTCTCCTACAATGTTCCCCTTGAGGCCACCTCTTATAATCAGGTGTGCAGCCTTCTTCCACAAGGTCTCTGAGGACCCCAAGGAGTGGCATCACAACTAGGTAGATAGAGACAGACAACATTGCTGCAACGAGAGGCACAGCCACAGCAGCACTGTAAGCAAACACAGTAAAACAATTCTATACCCAGCACAAGACCAACACTTAGCAAAAGCCCTCGCCTCCTACAGGGAGAAGAGAGAAACCAGGCAGCCACAGCGGACCAGCCACCAGGTGTGTCCAGGGCCGCTGACTGCTTCTTCGTGTGGTCTAGCAAGGCAGTGATCTTCTGGTCTGGTCCATAGATAGGTACGATGTTCAGTCTTTACTGCGGCACACGTCTCACCTCGAGCAGCTGTCAGACTGTCCAGAGCCGTCCACCCAGTTCAGGAGGACCCCTCCTCAGCTGGGTGATCTCAGAAGTTAATAGGCACAGGGTTTCTCTACTGTAGGTTCAGGGCTTCGATTAGACTTCTACAGGGCCAAGAGAAGAAGCAAAAACAATGAACAGATCATCGTATCATTGAAAACCCTGCCCCTGGCCCACCTAGATTTTATCATTGGGTAATTCAGAGGTTTGGGCATAGATTTGCTAATGGTTCCTACAGTGTAGGGCAACCCCCAGATATAGCACTCTATCCAGTTGTATGCAACCAGGGCCACAAGTAATAGCCACCCATTCATCAGGTGCCATTAAGAGCTAGCTGCACTCCTGCACTC